TTTTTTACCTGGAGATGTGAACACGGGTCCTCATACTTGAATGGCTAGCTTTTTACCGCCAACCACTTATCTTCCTAGCCCTTCGGTTAATGTTTTTTTAAGTTGTTATGGCATATACCATTGACTCAGCAGTTGGGAAGCTGAAGCAGGAGAATAGCTTGAGCCATTTGAAGCTTGGTTGGACAACACCATATCTCAAAAAAAAAAAAAAAAAAGATTTAAGTCCATATTAAAGTTAAACATAATTTAACCAAGCTTACCCTCATCTGTCCCTCAATTCCTCCCCCCCCCAAAAAAAAGAAAAAGGAAAAAAAAAAAAGCATTAGGTATTTCTATAGAAACCAATGTACACTAAAGTCATGCATTGTAAACCATGGGCTAGGCAAAATCCCGAGATACTATTTGTCCTAGTTAGAGTTACCATTGCTGTGATGAAACACTCTGACAAAAAGCAAGGTGGGGAGTGAAAAGTTTATTTGGCTTACTCTTCCACATCAGACAGGAACTCTTGCAGGGCAGGAACCGGGAGGCTGGAGCTGATGCAGAGGCAGCTGTAAGATGCTGCTTACTGGCCTGCTCCTTATAGATTGCTCAGCCTGGTTGTCGAATGCAGGACCACCAGCCCAGGGGTGGCACCCACAGTGGACTGGGCTAATTAAAGTGCCCTACAGCCAGATCTTACGGAGGCATTTTCTCAATTGAGGCTTCCTTCTTTCCAGTCACTCTAGCTTGTGAAGTTGACATGAAACCAGCCAGTACATTATTTAATAATGTAGGTGCTTCTATGAAAAGTGAAATTCATGGAATTTTAAAGTGTAATAATAGATATATTACAATTATTAGTGTGTGGGGGTGGTGATGGGGACTGTTAGCCAGAGTGTGCAGGTGGTCAGAGGGAAACTTGGCAGGAATCAGTTCTTTTCTTCCATTATGTGGGTTCCAGGAATCAAACTCTGGTCATCATGTTGGATGGCAAGTGCTTTTAACCTGCTGAGCCTTCTGCAGACATTTTAGTAGAAAAGGGTTGGGAGATTTCCTTAGGGTAACGCTTTGCTGTATTTTGTTTCAGAGTTCCGTATCTGCAGATGAGTTTACAGTGCTCACGTGTTAAAACTGATCCAGGATGAGATTTTACTGTTACCTTCTGCACTGGAGACTTTCCTCATTGTTGTTAAAAAGTGCATGGCAGAAGTAAAAGAGGATTTATTTAGCACACAGTCGGAGGGCATGCAGTCCATGATGGCCGGAGGGCAGGTTGGCAGCTGCAGGAGCCTGCTCATATCTGGACAGATAAAGAAGTAGACACAGAACAGCAAACAGGCAGGACTGTGAACTTCAAGGCCTGCCTCCCAGTGACCCACCGTCCTCCAGCTAAGTCTTTCCCACAACCTCCCAGAGCCGCAATAAGGACTGTGTTGATGTTTTGCATTTTGCCACCTTTAAATACGGTGTTCTGTGCAGTTAAGTTACGCAGAATGACAAAGCTGAGCAGCACTGTGAAGCTGTGAGTGCCACGGAAGATCTTTGCTGAGTACTCTTCTGTTTTTCCAGGCAGGGTTTCTCTGTGTAGCCTTGGCTGTCCTGGACTTGCTTTATAAACCAGGCTGGCCTTGAACTCACAGAGATCCCCCTTGAGTGCTGGGATTACAGGTGTACACCACCATACCCAGCTTGCTGCATATTCTTAACATTCCATTCACAGCACGGAAGCAGCCAGGCACATATGTAAGTGTCTGTGTTCCAATAAAACTTTATTTATGGACCTTAAAATTTGAATTTTATGTAATTGTTTTCTATATTTAAGAATAAGTTGATTCTTTTTCTAGTCAGTTAAAATATACATGCAAATTAGGGTGAGGATCAGATTTGGCACATGGACTATAGCCTCTCTAAACTCAGGTATAAAGTATGAAAAAAACTTTCAAAACCTAATAATAATCCTTATATAATGTCATCATTTTCTTAGTTAAAAAACAGTACTTAGGCAAACAAAACAAAACAAAAAAAAAAACAAAGCCAGGAATGATGGTGCATACCTTTAATACTAGAACTTGGGGAATTAGAGGCCTAGTCTACAGAGCAAGTTCCTGGACAGCTGGGGCTACACAGCGAAACCTTGTCTTAAAAATTAAACCGTCAAGCAATATGTGCAAAAATCACACACAAAAGCTACGTGTGGTGGCGTTAAGAGGTTTATTAAGGCTTAGTCTGTTTTGTTAACAGAATTAAAATGTCAACAAAAATTGATGTAGTTGATCAGCTGGAATTCTGGGATTTGCTCCATTGTAGGTTTCTTTATAGTGAACAGTTTCTTCTGGTGTGTGCAGTGTATGCATTTGTACATGTTTAAGAGAGTATGTGTACACGAATGTGGAGGCCAGAGGTTGGCAGTGGGTGTGTTCAAGAAAAAGTTTGCTGGCTACCATGGAAACAACCAATTCTGTAGAAAACTGCTGAGCTCACTGCCTAGAAATTTTGATTTGGTAGATTTAGGGTGAGATCCAGGAATGTTCATTGACGGAAAGAACCCCAAGAAACCTGGATTCAAATCTTAATATCACAGCAAGTAGCTAACTATTCTGCAACAAGTTACCCTCTCTCTCCTCCCTCTACCCCATGCCTGATAGGGTTGTTTCTGTTTTTTTCTTCAAATGAGAATACCTCTTTAACTGATGCTAAATAAATGGTACACAAATGTGAAGGGGTATTAATGATTAAATTAGGGCCGGATTTCTATAATCCCTTTGATACTCTGATTGCTTTGTTTCTACATATAAAAGTGATACTACTACCTTCTTGTCTTTCCCCTCTTTTAGTAGGAAATGTCTCTTTTGTAGCCTTTCCTCCCGTTTGCATCTGTCAAGTGTGCCCTCTGATGTCATTCTGACTGGCCTTCTTCTTGCTCTGGCTGGCTCTGAAATAGAACCGCTGAATCCCTTCAGTTTGCTTGTGGAGAGTTCTCTTGTGATTCTGAAGAAACCCATTTTAGGTTTAGGTCAAGGCCATTTAAGGAAATAAAAAGCAGCTGAGTTCTTGGGGCCAAAAAGCATTAGGGGAAATGTACCTTGGAGAAGCAGTTTGAAGCTGAGCATTGGCACATGCTTGCTGTGTATTCAGAGTTGGGGCCAAGAGTTAAACACTCCCTAGGCTGAATCCTATGTTTGTTTTTTTCTTTATTCTAGTCACCCTCATCTTAATTCTTGTACTGTCATCTAGAATTTTGGTTTGATTTTGTTTTTAAGGTCTGTAAGTTAGTAGTTACCGTGTTATTGTGGTAAATACCTGTTCACACTGGCTTACTGCTTGGGTTTACTGTGGTGCTTCTTAGACTTCATTTCAGTTTCCTCCTTTCTGTGGTATTTTCTGAAAAAATAATTTCTGTCAGAGATTGTCTTCGGTTGTTAAGTCATCTTTGTCTGACTGTCAGTGTTTCATCTTACGTGTGTGTGTGTGAGTGAGTGTGTGGATGTGGGTGTACATGTACCACACAGATGTATGGAGTTTGGACAACAATTTTAGGGAGTCAGCTTTCCCTTCCACCATGTGGGCCCTGGAGATTGAACAGGTTTCCAGGTGTGGTGGCAACTGCTTTTTCTTGCTGGCCCAAGCTGTCATAAACTGTTGATTTCTTATTCCATGAAGTTTCCCTAGTGTTGTGAGCCTCTGCTCTTCTGACAGAAATATTCATCCCTTTTCTCTTTGTTGCTTTAAGGGGTTTTTGTTTTTTAAATCTGCAGGAATTTGTAATTTCACCATGGTATGTCTGGATCCTGCCTCAGTTTCATTCTGAAGACCATATCTTTCATCAGTTCTGGAAAACAATAATTATCCTTTTGAACATTATTTTTCTGACTGATTTGTCCTCTTGAATTTACATTGTATGCACATTGCAAAAAGAAATCTTATTATTTTTCCTCTTCCATTTCTTATGTTCTGTTTGTATTTTCATTTCATGATTGTGTTACCTTTTTGAGTACTTTCTTTTACATCTCTCAGTTCACTAATTCATCCTTGTAATTCCTCCCCCTTGGTTTTTTTTTTGTTTGTTTTTTTTGTTTTTTGTTTTTGTTTTTTTTTGTTTTTTTTTTTTTTTTTGGTGTGTGTTTTCAGAGTGGGACTTAGTATATAACCTTTGCTGGCCTAGAACTCGATGTGTTATAGACCAGTCTGGCCTTAACACTCACACATCCCCCTGCCTCAGTCCACCAGGTGCTGGAATTGAAAGCATGTGCCATCACTCCTGGCCCACAAATTCTTTTAAACTTTATTTAATGTTTAATGTATTATTTTGGGTTTTATTTTTACTATTGTTTCTATTTATGTAGTTGGAACAGGATCAAAGCCTCGTGCATGCTAGTTCTGTGCTTCATTTACTACTGAGCTGTATTTACAACTTCAGAAGTCCTTTGAAAGGTTGTGTATTGTTAATATGTATGTTGTATGGTAGCTGTACACAGGCACACGACACAGGTTGTGTGTATAGAGATCTGCACACAACTTTGTAGAATTGATTCTTTGCATTTTATGTGGTTTCTAGCAATTGGACTCAAGCTTTTTCAGCAGGTGCTTTTAGCTGCTAAACCATTTCACTGTTAGGTATTTGTTTTCCCATCCTCTCCCCAGTTGAAGACTTTTGCACTATACTTTTTAAGGGTCTTTATTCACATTTGTCCTCTTAGAGTAAAACGTAGTATAATGCATAGCTAGTTGCTAAAGAGAAATGCTAGGCTGGAGGCTAAAGGTTCTAAACTAATAGTCTTTAAAACTCATCATGTAAATGAGATTATAGCGTGTAACCACTTGGAATCAACTGTGAGTTGTGTTATCATCTTGTTTCTTCTGTGTTTATGGGCAGTGTTTTGGGTTTAGCCTGGGCTTTGTATTTTGGCTTGTTCCTGTTTGCTTACTTTTGCATATTTAAGTTGGAGAACTTCTAAAAAGTTTAAAACTTAATTTCTACTTTTCCTCCTAAATCTGTTTTGTTTTTGCTTTATACATAGGTGACAAAACACGCCCGCCTTCCTCAAGTCCCTCCAGTATTATCCGTCGCACTTCCTCCCTGGATACCCTTGCAGCTCCATACCTTGCTGGGCACTGGCCCCGAGACACTCGTGGGCAAGCCACACCCTGCATGAGGGACAAGGCCACACAGGTAAGTTTCTTATTTGTTGTACTCTGAAGCATTGAGTGAACATCAGATTTTCCTCAGAAGCTTTTCAGAAACACAGGTTTCCAGGCCTACCTTCTGCTGGATTGTGTTTGGCCTGGGAGTGTACGTTTGTAAAATCACTCAAAAGTGATTTTCATACAGGTAGTTAATTGTTGACATACTTTTCCCTTTATATAACATTCTTCCTGCATGTTTGCCTGTGCACCAGATGAGGATGGGAATTGAACTCAGGACCTTTGGAAGAGCAGGCAGTGCTCTTAACCACTGAGCCATCTCCCCAGCCCCTCACACAGTATTTTTATACCTGGAACTTGGACTTGAAAATTTGTAATAATAGGATTACTCTGCATACCATTTATTTTTGTGCCCCAAACCTTTATGTATTGGGAAAACTATATTACATCACTGATACTCATTTTGTGTGTGTGTGTGTGTGTGTGTGTGTGTGTGATCTGTATAGCTCTACTGTAGTGTGCATATAGAAATTAGAGCACAACTTTGTGGAGTCAGTTCTCTCTTTCCACCTTTACATGATCTCTGGGGGTCAAATTTAAGTCCTCAGGAGTGCACCATTATCCACTGCGAAGCTTTTTACTGGCCCCATTGCTATTAGAGTTTATGATCATGAACGTCTCAACAATGAAGTCTGAAAGTGATGTTTCATACTTTTACATTTGTAAAACTGACTAATTAAAAGGATCTTGGAAACTTACTCATAATGATTCATAGATTTATAGTTAAAGAATTGAAGCCCAGCCTGGTGGTGCTGGCGCATGCCTTTAACCACAGTATTCGGGAGATAGGGGCAGGAGGATCTCAAGTTTGAGGCCAGCCTGTTCTCCAGAAAAGAAATGTGTTTGTTAGAAAGTAATGTCTGTTCTGAATTTGTTTAAAAAAAAACAAAACAAAACTTTAGTTTTGTAAAATCTGTAACTGCTGTGCTTGGAGCAAAATTGTGAGGAAAATTAGTAGTTTTCATGTGGCTTTGCTGTTTAGGAAGGACTACCTAGAAACCTTCTGTCTCAAACAAAACAAGACCCAAAAACCAACAAAAGAATTAAAATCCAGTATTGTACAGGCAGTTCATGATTGCATGTTAGTTTGGAGTTTCTCTTTATAGTATTTAATTAAATATTTTTATACTCATTTATCCACTGTTTTTCATACTTAAAAGACAGCGAATCCTGGTAAGGTGAAGCTATGTCTGGGTTGCACCTGGCATAGTAAGTGAGGCACATTTTGAGGAGCATTTGCAAAGAAATCAATGGATCAGCAACACAGTACTGCATTCTTGCTAATGGAGAATGAAAGACTTTAAAGACTTTAATGTTGTTGGGAATCAGCCAAGGGCTGTCTCCATTTTGGACTTCAGGTTTACATTATTTAGTTGCTCCATTCCAACATTTTAAAGAGAGTATCTTTGTCCAGAGGCAAGCACACACAGTTTGGGGTGGTTTAGCTTTCAGACTCAGGAAACCCCCAGAGATCTACAAGGACAGGAAGTACAAGCTCCTGACCTGTGGCCCAAGAAGAAGAGAGGTGTGTGCCAGCAGCTCGGCCATCCTGAGGACAAGCTGACAGCCTAGAAGTGGTGGCTTCCCAAGTGCAGGAGCCAAGTCCTTCAGTGTCCAGCAGCAAATACAGACTGGCTCAAGGGAGACGGAGAGTGGTTGAGGGCGACACCGAAGTTCACTTCTGGCTGCCACAAGCACACACATGTGCATGCACATCTGCGCACACACAGACACACCACATACAGAGTTTTAAAAGTACAGTAAACTATATATTCTATAAAATTATTATTATTTTTGACTATTTAAAAAGATTTGGAGACTTTAATCCCAGCACTTGGGAGGCAGAGGCAGGTGGATTGCTGTGAGTTCCAGGCCAGCCTGGTCTACCAAAGCAAGTCAGTAAAGTCAAGGCTCCACACAGAGAAACCCTGTCTCCAAACCAAAAAACAAATGCCAACCAAAAAAAAAAACTATATCCTACATTCAGGAGTTATTTCAAGAACTTTGCTTCCCTTAGGACAGGATAGGACCGCTTTGAGAAGATGTAGTCTGGTCCCAGTCACTTCAGAAAGACTGTCCTGTACATGCAGTGTTTTGTGCGCCACAGCTGCGTGGTGGCTTAAAAGGTACCTAGCAATGTGCATGAATTAAAAAGTACCTCACTGAACCTGAGAAGATGCTGGAGCATTGAACAGACATGGCTCTTGTAAACAGGAAGTGTTGAAGCCATTGAGATAACTACATCCAAAAGTCTCTTCTAAACTATGGAGGTAGACCTGAATGTAGGAAGACTCCACTGTCCCCATGACTCTGGAAACATTATTGTAGCTGAACTGTAGTCAAAATAAGAGTAAACCTTTGAAGTCCTGAGTGAGAGCTGTGAGCCCAACCCTGTCTGCTGTCTCCTGTGGGTTCTCCAGTTTTTGGGTGTTTTTTTTTTTTTTCTTAATGGAAGCCATTTTTTATAGCATCCTTGACTGAATCTCATCTAAGACATCTCCCAGAAAAGTGACATCACTGGAGCCTCCATTCCCTTCACTATTCCAGAAGGTACAGAAGGTCCATGCCAGCGCCTTTCTGCCTGTTCACATCCCTGCTGAAAATGTTTTTTCTCTTCCCGTTACTGTCAAGTAAATCCTTGCATCAGTTACAGTTGTCCATGTGGTCTATAGGAGCTGCAAGATCCCTAGTTGCACAAAGAAGTTCTATCACTCACATCACAGTACACCTAGAAGAGGGCTCGGCTGTCCCAGAGAGGTCTACGTTTCATTTTATTGTTTTGAAGTTCAGCAACTTTAAGACATTTTGAGCTTTTTCATAATGAAATGCTTCTGAATATTCATCAGTATGTTCCTAGATACCAGTAAATCTGAATGTTCTCTTCAGTACTCAAGTCCTGAAACCTTTGTCACAGTAAGGGTGCCTACATGCCACCCAGTTCTAGTCAATGGAAGAATTCATGCACCAATTTTACTATATTTTCATTATTGATTGTTTCTTTATTAACTTGTTCATAACTTCAAAGAGATACTGATCGGAGTTTTTCTTCATAACCAGGCAGTTGGAAATCAGTTCTCAGTAGATCAAACTGTGTACCCCATCTCCAAAATTAGTTGTTCTTTCTTGTTTGTTTTCCAAGACCGGGTTTCTCTTTGTAGCCTGGCTTACCTGGAGTTCTCTCTGTAGTCCAGGCTGGCTTCAAACTCAGAGATCCGGGCTGCATCTGCCACCCAGGTGCTAGGCCTAAAGGCATGAACCACCACACCCATCTTACTTATTCTTGTTGCTTGATGCTGGAAACTTTTAGATATTCATTAAAATTTCCTGTGATGGTGGATTGCAAATGTCTAACATGAAATTTTCTGGCACCCTTAGGTGAACTGAATTTAAAACAACCATCTTCTGAGGAAGAACAGGACTCTTTAATTCATATTTTGATTCGTCTTCAATTTCTTGCTGTAGTGCAGTACCTTTACTTCTTGTTTATTTTGAGGTTTAGAGTCCTGGGGCCAGCACCAACTGCACTCAACACCGAGTGACATTTAAGCTCTGCAGACAGTGGCCAAGCTTTCTGTTTTCAGGTCCAGTGCACTAGGAAGCAGACAGGTGTGATCACTGGATGCTGCATTCTGTGCTGGCCCACCCTCCCACCTCATGTCCCACCTCTGCTCTTCAGATTTTATGATTATCTATTCCTGGGCCAGCAAGATGGCTCAGTGGGTAAAAGTGCTTGCCAGCAGAGCCTGGGGGCTTGAATTCAATCCCTGAGACCATCTTGATGGAGGGAGAAAACCAGCTCCACAAATTGTCCTCTGATCTGTGACACACCCACTCATACCCACACCTGCCCACACACACTCTATATAGATAAATGCACTAAAATATAAACCATGCCAGTTCCTGTAGTCCATCTCCTTTCCAGGCAGAAATTAAATTGAGAAGGGATAGACAACTTGTCTGAGATGTCAGACACATTTTATAACTGAGATAGGATTTAGACCTGGTGTTTAACATCAACAGGTATGATCTGAACCCTGTAAATTATGCTGCATAAGAGGAATGGTTTTTTTTTTTTTTTTAAATTTTGTTGTTTTTATGCTTTGTGGTTTTGGTTTTTAATTTTATGTGCATTGGTGTTTTCCTATATGTATGTCTGTGTGAAGGTGTCAGATCTTAGACAGTTACAGACAGTTGTAAGCTGCCATGTGAGTGCTAGGATTTGAACCTGGGTCCTTTGGAGGAGCAGTCAAGTCAGTGCTCTAAACTGCTGAGCCCTATATGGAATGTTATTTTAAGATTTAAAAGTTTTAATACTGAAGATCATTAATTTTGGTTTTAGTTGAATGTGGATATTTCATACTCTGTGGTTTCATTTGTAGGTTGGTCTTTGTGGAAAAAAAAATTTTTTTTGGAGACAGGCTCTCATTATGTAGCCTTGACTTATATAATGGCCTTGACTACATAAATCACGCTGTCCTCAGACTGCTCCCTTGTGTGCTGGGATTAAAAGAATGTGCCACTCTGTGCGGCCTGACAGGTGTTTTGACAGTTGACGTAGAGTCTCTAGACCCTCATGTGAAAAAGCATTGAACCAGCAGGGTCAATTGGAGGCCCCAGTGGAAAGTGGGATTTAGAGTGGCACAGTGGGTACTGACCGAATTGCATCTTGAGAGTCTGTGTTTAAGGTCATCCTAGGTATAAGCCGGGTCTGGGGAGGTGATCAGTTCCAATCACAGTTTTTTTTCTTTTCCTTTTTTTTTTTTTTTTTCTCTTTTGAGACAGGGTTTCTTGTGTAGCCCTGGCTGTCCTGGACTCGCTCTGTAGATCAGGCTGGCCTCGAACTCACAGAGTTCCACCTGCCTCTGCTTTCTGAGTGCTGGGATTACAGCCGTGCACCACCACACCCGGCTCACAATTTCTTGATTTTAGGAAATCTGTCATTTTTATTTTTATTTGAAAATAGACCATGTTTAATTAGTAAGCGGTAGGTTATGCATACCCAAACTGCCAAACTGTAGCAGTAGTTCTTAAAACACTCTATTGTTCTGTGTAAATTCTACATTTATATAGGAAAAAATTCAGGATGTCCGGAAGGGTATACAGCAAAGACCCTTGTCCTCACAAGGAGGCCACCAGTAGTCAGTTTCTTTGTTACCATGAATATTCTTTAAAAACGAAACAACGACAACAAAAAGCTGTGGCGTATTCCATCACAGGATGGCCTCTAACTCCCTGTATAGCTGAGATGACCATGAACTTCTAATATTCCTGTCTCTAACTCCTGAAGTCTGAGTGGACCACCAGTCTGGTTTATGCAGTGTTGGGAATGTACAGACCCAGGGCCGTGTGCATGTTAGGCAAGCACTCTACCAACTGAGCTACACCCACCCTAGCCCCTGTGTATGTTCTTAAGGAGGTAGTGTGTTTAACATAAACATTTGCTGTGACACTTCCATGTAGTGGACAGTTTTCATGCACACCATATTAAGCCTTGAAATTATTCACTAACAGTACATTTAATGATTGTTATATATATATATATTATGTATTACCGTGTTTGTTTGTTTATATAGCTGAATAGGATTCTATTAAATGCTCTAGTTTGTATAGCCAAGCCTAAAAGGCGGCTTTTTTCTGGTATCACTCAGGTATTTTACTTGTGAGAACAGAGCTGTAAGGAATGTTGTGAATGCCTCATTTGTATATAGAGATGCATGCTTGGGCACTGGGGAGATAAATAGATCAGTGTGCTTGCTGTGAAGTGGAAGGACCTGAGTTTGAGCCCCAGAACCACGGTCAAAAAGCTGGTAGTGGTGGTATGTGTTTGTAATACCAGTGTTGAGGAGGTAGAGACAGGTGCTTGCTGGCTACTCAGCATGTTTGGTGAGTGCAAAGCCAGTAAGAGACTATCTCTGAACATACACACATGGCTCCTGAGGAATGTCAGTTGAGGTTGTCGAATTGCTTTCACACACGCGTATCCTTCCATATGAACATACAGCCACATTTCCATGCACAAAGAGGTGCATTTTGCATGTCTGCAAGTTAAATTGCCAGAAGGGGAGTTGAATTGTTAAGTAATATGTGACTTAAAACTTTGACACCAGCTCCCAAAGTTTTATCAAAGGCTGTCCTGAATTATACTCTGACAATCTAGGAACATTTATGTTATCAAATCTTTCCTAGTCAAAGTTAAGTTTAAACTTGATTTCTCCTATTACTCATGGGATTGAACATCTTGTGTCAGAAATTTGCTTATGTAGCCAGGTGTGGTGGCACATGCACTTAGGGAGGCAGAGACAGGAGGATCTCTTTGAGTTCAAGGCCACCTGGTCTACAAAGTAAGTCCAGGGCTGCCAGGGCTACATAGAGAAACCCTGTCTTGAAAAGCACCCCCCCCCCAAAAAAAAAAAAAAGATTTTGCTTATATTTGTGTTTTCTGAAACTTAAATTCCAAATTTGAATTTGATATAACCATTAAAGATTAAATGTTTTTGAGGCTGTTCTCTGTATAGTATCAGGTTAATAATATGGGCTTTGGGGTCAAGTTTGTTTCTAGACCTTTCTGCTTTCTATCCTTGAGACCTTTTTTTTTTTTCCTTTCCCCTTTTTTCTTTCTCTTTTTTTTCCTTTTTTCAGACTGGGTCTCTCCATGTATCCCTGGCTGTCCTGGAACTCAGTCCGTAGACAGGCTGTAGGTTCTTCTGCCTCTGCCTTCTGAGTGCTGGGATCAAAGGTGTACATCCCCACGCCAAGCCTGAAAGCCCAGAAACGTTAACTGCTGCTACCACGCCTCTGTGCTGTGCTCTGTTAATGATGTGCGTACAGATTTGTAGAGACCTTATTGGTAATGGAAGTGAAAGAAAGGTTAAAATACTGATTATAATCAACTGGTGCTCAGAGACTTCTGTGTCGTTTGTGGTTAAAATATGCTGGAGGAATGGCTCAGTGCTTAAAAGAACACTTTCTGCAGAGGACCTGGGTTTATTCCCCAGCACCCACATGGTAGCTCACAACCATCCACAGACACACACACATGGCGAACGTATATACATGCAGACAAAACACTCATACACATATAATAATAAAATCTTTAAAATCTTTAAATATGTTCTAATATTTCTGATTTTTATGTGGCATATATTATTTAATAGAAAAAAAGTCTGATGTGCTATTGTTAAATGCTTTTTGTCAAAATAACTTTTTTTCTGCCTCCACAATAGACCGAGAGTGCATGGGCTGAAGAATATGCTGAAAAGAAGAAAGGGTCTCATAAACGCTCAGCATCCTGGGGCAGCACAGAACAGCTCAAAGAGGTCAGCAAAATGTTCTGTGGAAGCAGAAATTCGGCTTTTTCATTTGGCTAGTTTCTTAAAGTTGTGGACTGTAAATGTTATTTTCCCAGCATGGGAAGGTATGTATGTGTGCATGCGTGTCTGTGTGAGGCTGTTGTGTGCCTGTGCGTGAATGTGTGGAGACAAGAAGTCAGTGGCAGATGTCCACTACTTTCACTCTTACCTTTTTGAGATAAATTAAGGTCTCTGACTGAAGCTGTCACAGTTTTAATCGTTCCATCACCCAAATTCTTTGGTCAAAGTAAGCAAGCTTTATTTTCCATCAGATGGGCCTATCTCCCTAAGGTGAGGCTTGAAATATATTTAAAAAAAAAAAAAAAGGCATTGAACATAGGAAAAAGTGGGGCTTCTGTAGCCCCAAACTGCAAGTCTAATAGGGTTTTCAAGGGTTGGGGGATTTCCAGAGGAACCTTGGTTATGTAGGAACTTAACTGAATATTTCAAACATTTCATCTTATCAGGGTACAATTAAGTGTGAGTCAAACTGCATAGGGCAGGGACCATGTCAGCTTGAGTTTTGCAGCAAACAAATACACTTGTTCTGCCCTTAAATAGCTTCCATCCTTAAGATGGAGTCAGGCCGGCTGGTCATTCCCAGCACAGGGCTAGAGGTGAGTACCACCACCCTGATTTTACATGGCTACTGGAGATCTGCACTCAGCTGCAAGCGCTTTACCCACCTTTCCCCGTTTACTTGAGAAATAATAACAGAAAAAGTTGATTTGATAATTTTTTTAGGGCATGAAGCCAAAAATTATCATATACCTATAATCTCAGAAGTCAGGGTATGGAGCCAGCTGAGCCCACACCTCTCAAAAAAAGAGTAAAATGAAAATATTTGAATAGGAAATGTGCATGTTATTAATCTGATGATGCAAGCCTTGTTTTAAATAGGAGAGTCTGTGTACCTAGAAATAATAACAGACATCAAATTTATAAAATTAGTGAGATTAAGAAACTGACATTTTTTTCTGCTATGGCAGTATTTTTGAAATTTAGTATCTCAATTATGGACAGCTCTGCTACTGTTTTCTGTGTTTATAGTTACTGGCATTGCAGTTTACCCATAGTAGAAGTAAAAGAGAAAAACCCAGCGAAAGGATAATAATGAGCTTGCCATTGAAATTGTATTTGTAGCCAGGTGTGTTGGCATGACCTAATCCCAGCATTTGGGAAGGGGAAGCAGGAGGATCAGGAATTGAAGACTAGCCTTGATTTGGGGGTTTGAATGAGAGGTCTCCTGTAATCTCATACATCTAAATACTTGGTTCCCAGTTGATGACCCTGCTGGGGGCTAGGTTTAGGAGGTGAGGCCTTGCTGGAGTGATACCTCACTGGGGATGGGCTTGGAGGTTTCAAAGTCATGTCCAATCTGAGTTCTCTCTCTGTTTCATACTTGTAATAAAAGATGTAAACACTCAGCTTCTTGTTCCAGTCGTTATGTTTTGCTCTCCCATCATGGACTCTTAATCCCTCTAGAGCTGTAATCCCAAGTAAACTTTCTTCTATATTACCTTGGTCATTATATTTTATCACAGCAATACTGAAGTAACTAATACACTTGGCTAATGAGATTCTAGTTCAGAAACAGCAAATTGTATTGGTTACTTAAAAAGATTTTATCTTAAGTGTATTTCTTGGCTTGGTGTTCTTCTAGTTTCCTTCCTGTTGTTGTGATAAAATACTTTGATGAAAAGCAAATTAATGAGAAAAGGTTTTATTTGGCTTAAAGTGAGAGGGAAGAGGAGAGGAGAGGGGAATGAATATGGAGGTAGGAACAGGCTGATCACATTTCAGCAAAACATAGGAAGAAGAGAGAGTGGAGGAAGCGTATTTTCAAAGCCTGCCCCCAGTGATATGCCTCCAGGAAGGCTCACCTCCAAAGGCTCACTCCAAACAGCACCACCATTTTGGGACCAAGTGCTCAGATACATGGGTGTGTGGAGGGTTAGGATTAGGGTCATTCACACTAACACACTTGGCTGGATTTGTGAATATCTAATTGTACTTGTAAAGGCAAGAAGAGAGTAAGTTATTTCTAAGAGCATAATTTAAATGCAGAAAACTGTTTAATACTTGAAGCTTCAAGACTAAAGACAATATCGATTATACCTGTTTTCTTTTATTTTTATTTATTAAATATTCTGCCTGTGTGAGTGCCTACACACCAGAAGAGGGGAGGGCATCAGATCTCATTATAGATGGTTGTGAGCCACCATGTGGTTGCTGGGAATTGAACTCAGGACCTTTGGAAGAACAGACAGTGCTCTGAGCCATCTCGCCAGCCCTACCTGTTTTTCTTTAAGTCTATGAATATATACGTGAATGTATGTATAAAATGTTCTTTTAGATTTTGTAATATGTTTAAATTTTCAGGGTATTAAGGGTGAATTTTATTGGTTCTTATTAAGCAAGAATGTTTTTTTCTTTTTTTATAAATATAATTTTTTATTTATTACAGTTTATTCACTTTGTATCCCAGCTGTAGCCCCACCCTCAAGAATGTGTTTTTACTTAGTGTGAAAAACACTGTTTCTGCCTGTTCTTCTCCTTTTCAGATTGCAAAATTACGCCAGCAACTGCAGAGAAGCAAACACAGCAGTCGCCATCATCGAGATAAAGAAAGACAGTCTCCATTCCATGGCAACCATGCAGCTATTAACCAGAGCCAGGTGAGAAAGAAACTGCTTTTCTTCTAGCTTGTTTGTAATTGTTTAGAACAAAATGTCCAAAACTACGTTTGAAACAATGGTTTAAGTATTCAATCACAGCCTTCCACCCTCCCCTAAGTTGATGTTATTTCATCTAGGAGACAGATCCATTTTTTATTTCCTTTGGGACTCCCCCATAGGGTTTCTTTTACATACCGTGGCTGTGTTGGAACTTGCTATGTAGAACAGGCAGGCTCCGAATTCACAAAGATCCACTTGCCGCTGCTTCCCGTGTGCTGGGATGAGGGTGTGCACCATGCCCCGCTCCAGTTACACATTTTGAGTTAACCTGCTTTGCTGAAGAAGGAGGCTACCATACATAGCATTGGCCGTGGAACAGACATTTATCCTTTCTTAGCTTCAGTGATGTTACCTGAAGATTGGCAGCAATAATTCTTGTCTCAGTGTCTTTTGGGAGGGAAAACGAACTGAAAGAAAATCTACAGAGGGCAGTAAGTGGCTTACCCATAGAGCTTTATCTGAATTCAAACTGGCCAGGGTTCCTTGGCAAGAAGGGAGCAGGTTTATTTCACATCCCATGATTGAATCTTTCAGATCCCAAAAGCAAAGCTTTGTGAATACAGGGTCCTGCATTCAGTTTTCTGTGGGAGCAGTAGGTCAGAGACCAGGGAACTAGAAGGCCAGTCCAGGACTTTCTGATAGTATTTAAGATGTGATAGCAGGTGGAAGCTAGCTGCTTTACCACCTGTTTGCAAGTAAAGTTTTACGAGGTGTAGACATTTATTTCTTTATATACTGTCTTTGGCTTCATTCTTAATATAACGTATCAGTGAGTAGTTGTGACAGAGACTATCTGGCCCACAGAATCTAAAATATTTACTGTTTGAGCCTTCATAGAAAAAAAGGTTTGCTTTTTTGAGTTGATAAAGTCTTATGATTGTTACTATATGTGAGTTTTATGCATTAGAAAGTCTGAGTAAAGAAATAATTTTGAGTTTTATAAATTTATAGTTTGGTTTTAGTTTCTAGTAGCTCTTCTCCAATTATAAGATTGTATTTAAACAAAATATGATTGGGGTGTCAGGGTTGTAGCCAAGAGCATTGCTTTCGCAGAGCACTGATTGTTTCCCAGCACCTAACTTGTAACGAGCTTCAGGAAATCCAGTGCTTGACGTTTTCTCAGTATCCATTCACATGCACATACTCAAACAAAGATGCAGACACATAGACACAGATAATTAAATGTAAAATAAAACCTAAAAAATATAAATATGATTGGATGTTTAATATGTTAAAAAAATACAGTTTCGTTTTTGAGAAATTAAACTGTTAACTGTCAGCAAAAAAAAGATGTAAAATTTAATATGTAATAAAAAGTAATAACTGTTGCCAGGAATGGTGCATGTCTTTAATCCCAGCACCTAGGGAGGGATTAATGTGACTTCAAGGCCAGCCTGGTCTGCAGAGCAAGTCCAGGACAGTCCCAAGGCTACACAGAGAAACCCTGTCTCAAAAAACTAAAAACAAAACAAAAACACAAAAGTAATAACTGTCAAGTGGAATATTAACTGAAAACTAACATGTTTACAGTCAAAGGGCTGGAGATTTATGATTATACAGATGAATTTATCAACCAAATCCTTTTTGATTCTTTTATAACTACTCTGTTAATTTCTTTAAAAACAAGATTGCTCTGTATTCCCCATCATATTTTCACTTTAGCTCATTTTAGAGTTAAGATTGAATTTTATCTAATTAAGTCGTGTGTTACAGGAGTTGATAAGGTTTAGAAAGGATTTTGAAATACCAGTTTATTAATGTGTAGGCTACATGTAGGGCTACATGCTTTCCTCCCGGCCCCAGGCTCCAAAAGAGTGACTCAGAAGACTCAAAATACATTTACAAATATCTAGGCCGTATAGCTAGACTCTTCCCTGACCAGAATTTATTAGATAACAGTACGAAACTGTCAAACAATTAAAAGAAACTTTGTGGTGGTGGGAAGCAAGGCAAAATGGATGAAAGGCCTACAGAAGCCACAGCTGAAAGCGATTAGAAGAAACAGACCTCAGTGGAACTCAGGATTCAGCTGTGGCTTTCAGTATAGGATCCCACACACAAAAGGAAAAAAGTATATAGATTAACATTTGAGATTTTATTATCCCTTAACAATTACAGGAAAGTTGTTATGATAGTGTCTAATTTATAGAAGTCACTAGTTTGAGCAGAAGATTAATTCATTCGGTTCTGAATGGTTTTAGTCACAACTGGTAAATAAGTCTCACAGCTCATATTTTGTAGTTCTGTCCCAGGGAGTTCAAGTTAGTACTGTTGGTTGGGAATAATGAATCTTGATAACTTTCTTAGGTGAGAAATTTTCACATCCTGGGTTTTCGGAAATGATAAAGTCCTCAGAATAATGTTCACTCAGAGTAGTTCAAGCAATAAATAGCCTGGTTAGAAAAAACAGCAGCATACGTCAGAATTGAGTACTGGTGTAGATGTCAGGAGAGGAGGAGATGCCAGCCTTGACAGCCGCAAGACCTGATTTTGAGGCAGGAATTGAAAACCGTGGTCACCCTTTGGCTGCCGTACAGCCTTAAGTGAGAAAGCTCTCCCAAGGATTTTCTTATTTCTTTGGGCTGAGGACACTGTAGTTTGAGGATGAAAAGACAGTGAGATAGGAGAAAACAAACATGTCTCCTAAGGAATGCGAGGTACGTTGCACATGAGGGTTGCGGGTCTGCGCTGGACTCTGCCAGTGCAGCAGGACTGCTGTGTGATTGTGTAGGGTCAGAACTGGAGAAAGCACTGCTGTAGTATCTGTGATAGACAGAATAGTGTCATGTCGGAGCACTGAGCCGGGTGAGCAAGAGTGAGCTCACACCACTGAAAGACAGTAGCGTGACAGAAGAAGGCTCATGCGGTTTGGGGCCTTTGTGCTCGCTGTCTGTGGCCGCTCCACACACCAGTTTCCACCTGCCTTTGGTTGTGTTTTTCTGAACAGCCTTTTCAACATCCTCTTTGTCTATTAAAGCACATTTTTATTTTTCCTTTTTTTTTTTTTTTTTTGAGATAATGTTTCATTCTGTTGTACAGGCTGGCCTGTAAATTATTGTGTAGCCTACCTAACATGACCTTAAAAAATAAGCACATTCCTCCCTCCTCAGCCTCTCTAGTGCAGGGGTTAGCGGTTTTAGCCACCACTCTCAGCTACAGATAGGGTTTTTGTTTTTGTTTTTAATTTTGTGTTTGATGCTTTGACATCATGGATCTTTGCTGAGGAACTGGCGTCTCCCAAGATTATAGCCAATTCTCCCAATCACAGCAAAATGAATCAGTCTGGAATAAATAGCCCCACCAGCTCTTACCTTTTTAAAAAGTTGTCTTAAATTTTTTTATACATTTGGATCCTAGTCTTACTCTCTCCCCTAACTCCTCCAAGATTTTCTCTACCGCTCTACTTACCCAGTTTCATGTTCTCTCTCTTTCTCTCTTTTAAAAAAAGAAAAATGCACATAAAAAACATAAAGGCCTTTTTGTGTTGGGTAACCACTCTTGAGCATGGGGCCTGTCCTAGAGTATGTTTGAAATATTCAGTGCTACTCCAGTCTAGATAGTTTTTAAAAAAAAATAATTTATTTATTTTTATTTTATTTATATTGGTGTGGGATCCCCTGGAACTGTTACAGACAGTTATGAGCTCCCATGTGGGTGCTGGGGATTGAACCCAGGTCTTCTGAAAGAGCAGCTGGTGCTCTTAACCACTGAGCCATCTCCCCAGCCCTCTAGGTAGCTTTTTACCCTTCAAAAATTTCACTGTTTGTTAGCTCTTTTCAACTAAATTCCAGAAGAAAGCCTTCTCATATTTCCAGACTCATTGTCTTACTCCGTTCTCATCTTCATGCTGTGAGGCAGACATCCATGTCAGGTGTTGATGGAGATGTCTTATCGTTACTGTTGGCCACCCTTTCTATTGTTCTTTCGTTGGTTAATTCTTAGTTTTTATACATGTTTTAGTTGGTGCTCTATTGCTGTGAAGAGACACCGTGACCTAGGCAACTCTTATAAAAGACTGGGGGTTTGCTTACAGTTTTAGAGTGTTAGTCCGTGATCATCGTGGTGGGAAACAGACAGGCATGGTGAAGAAGCTTTACATCCTGATTCACAGGCAGCAGGCAGAGAGACACAGGGCCTGGCGAAGCCCACTCCCAGTGACACATTTCCTTCAACAAGGCCACACCTCCTAATCCTTTTCGACCAAGCATTTAAATGTAGGCTATGGGCGACCATTTCCATTCAAACCACCACATTCCCGGATGTAACATGCAGGCATAGAGACAGTGGAGTGTTGCGCTGCCTAGTTAGAAGCCATAGTAAATCAGAATACACTGAAATGTTTGCTTGGAGCAGAGAGATTGGGAAAACAGTAAGCATTTATTTGTTTTTTTTATTTTTCCAAAGTACAGATCCGATGAGAGACTTACTACTTATTTTTATTTTTTATTTATTATAGTTTATTCACTTTGTATCCCAGCTGTAGCCCCCTCTCTCATCCCCTCCCAATCCTGCCCTCCCTCCCTCTTCTCCTATGCCCCTCCTGCAGTCCACTGATAGATGAGGTCTTCCTTCCCTTCCATCTGACCCTAGCCTGTCAGGTCGATGAGAGGGGTTTTCATCTTAAGACAGTAAAGAACTTTTTACCCTTTCTCTCTAGAATTTAGAGGACTCTCAGCTAAGCTGATAACCCACTTACTTTTTTGCATGCTGATTTATATTTAGAATTCACATTATTTCAGAAACTTCTGTTGGTTTAGGAAAACAAATTATTGCTATTTAATTCCTAAAGTGGGTTTGGATGAGAGGTGCTGGGGGTGCCAGGAAAAAAAATAAGGAAAGAAAGAAAAAAATTTCTTAAGGGGCTCTTGAAAGAAAAGATTAGTTTTATTCTCTTCAGATGTTTTAGAATGTGGTTTATATAAGGAGTGAAAGGACTACAGCCTCCTGTGTCTTCAAAGGTAATGTTAGGTTTAATGAGGAAATCCTTCCCTGGTACCTGGGTAAGTAACTTCTAACCTTGTAGTGACAGCTAGTTAAGATTAACTGCTGGTTAAAACCCCTTACTAACCTCTCAAGATGTGTAAGGCCTTACAAGAATGATTTGGTCTTGCCACTCCTTTTTTCTTTCTTTCTTTCTTTTCTTTGCTTGAGACAGATTAAACCTTTTTTTTTTCCTTCCTGTACACAGGTTCTGCCTGCATGTGTGCCTGTGCGCCAGAAGAGGGCACCAGATCTCATTGTAGATGGTTGTGAGCTACCATGTGGGTGCTGGGAATTAATAAAGTCAGGTCCTCTGGAAGAGCAGCCAGGGCTCTTAACCTCTGAGCCATCTCTCCAGCCCCCAATATTAAACTTTTGATAAATAGTTGCTGCTAAGGAGATAATATTAAGAAAATTTGTTTAACTTCTTTCCTTGCCTTGAGACAGTAGAATTTTTCAGTAAACCAGATGTGTTGGGTCAGCCACTTCACTGCCAGGTTCCTGGTTGTGCCTTTCTCAGCATGGCAGCCAGAACCAGGAAGCTCTTATGTTTTCTTTAGCAGACAAACTTATTGATAATTTGTCTTTGGGACAGCATTTTGCAGATACATCTTCCCTTACAGTCTCTTTCCGTGTTTCTGTAATTTAGCAGTTGTAAAACAAATGTATACCTGAAAGCAGCCTGAAAACCCAGTGTGAGGTCTTGTTTATGTTGTGTGACAAGTAGAAGAAATTAGAGGAGGAGAAGGAAGAAACCATTAGTTTAGAGCTCGCATCTATATTCTGTGCCCTAAGTCTTGAGATTGCTCTGTTGTATCACTGTGTCATCTCATTACATACGAGAGGAACTCAGACACAGGAAATACGACTGCATGTCAGTCATAACTGAATAAACCGCTATGCTTCATTCCAGGCTAGGGAGTTGTAGGTTTCTTTTCTCTCACTTCACTTTTTCCTGCCTCATTTCTGTTGCCTTTACCTTCAGAATGGTTCTTTCCTGACAGTTAGAAGCAAAGCAGTGTTATCCTTGTCCTTCCCCTGCCTTATTCCTGAACTACTGATACTGAGAGCTTTTAACACCCTTATTTGTGGCAGGAAGGATGGCTCAGTGGTTAAGAGTATTTGCTGCTTTTCCAGAGGACCTGAGTTCAGTTTCTTAACACCCATGTCAGGTGTGCTCCTAACTACCTGAAACTCCAGCTCCAAAGGGAATGACACCCTCTTCTGGACTCTGGGTACTTGCACTCAGATGTGGACATACTCAGATGTACCATACACGTGATCTAGAAAATGATAAGACAATAACAAAAACCCAACAACTTTGGCTTGCTCTTACTTTGGAATTTCACATTTGATGGGAAGGAGATAGGATAGTGAGGATAGGCAAAAAGTCTTTAGGAGTTAGTGGCAGTCCTTAGGGATCTTAAGACAAACGTTGGATAGCCAACTGCAGTGACTCGCTTTCATACCGCCTCACTGCAGTTCCAAATAGAAAAGTGACAAGGCTGGAGAAATTGTTCAGTGGTTAAGAGCGTTTCCAGTTCAGGGGATTAGACACCCTCTACAGGTGCCTGTACACACGTTGTGCACACACAGGTAGGCAGGCAGGCAGACAGACAGATAACCCCCCTACACACACACACACACACACACACACACACACACACACACACACACACGGTTTTTCTGTGTAGCCCTGGCTGTCCTGGTCTCTAGACCAGGCCTGCCTCTTGCCTTCTGAATGCCGAGATTAAAGGCGACCGCACCCAGCCTAAAAATATTTTAAGAAATAAGGAAGTGAGGACGTGGAAGGGAGACTAGCGTAGAAGAGTAGAAAGGCAGGCAGTGAGGACTGATAGCGCGTGCTCCTTGCCAGCCTTGTCACCACTGGTAGTGGTGTGGGGCTTGTGACAAGGAGGGAAGGTAGGCTCTGTTCTTGTCAGTGACTGGAAGTCTGTCAGCTATAGAAGGGAGGGTGTCGTGACATAGACCTCTAGTGTCAGCACTGAAGATGCTGAGGCAGGAGGAGTGTGAATTTCACTCCTCCCTGAGGTAGAAGGTAGTTCACCCTATCTCAATTGTTGTGTGTTGTAACACCCCTGCCCCCCAAAAGAAACAACTTAACCCAATACCAGCAACAAAAACGAGCCTGTTGAACATCTAAACATAAGATATTTGGGCCTAGGGAGATGGCTCTGTGGTTAGGAGCATCTGCTGCTCTGCAGAGGACCCACATCTGGTTCCCAGCATTCACATGGTGGCTCACAGCGGGCTATTTCTTCAGCTCCAGGGGTCTAGGGCCCTTCTGCCCTGTGGTGTCTTCTGCATGCATATGATTCAGATTTGTGCCCCTGGGAAAACAAGAGAAGGACTTTGTTTTTCTTTGACAGTAGATGTTGAGATTGGAAGAGGGAATAGAAAAAAAGAGTTAGAAATAAAAAAAATATGAGGGCTAGAGAGATGGTTCAGTGGCTGAGAGCATTGGCAACTCCTCCAGAGAAACTGGGTTCAGTTCCCAGCACCCACATTCTTTTTTTTCTTTTAACATTTTTAATATTTATTTATTTTTTTAAGATTTATTTGAGAGGTCTATCTGCATGTATACCAGCATGACAGAAGAGGGCATCAAATGCCAGTATAGATGTTTGTGAGCCACTGTTTGGGTGCTGGGATTTGAACCCGGGTCTTCTGGAAGAGCAGCCAGTGCTCTTAGCTGCTGAGCCATTTCTCCAGCCCCCAGTTCTCTGTAACTTCAGTTCTTGATAATCTGATGATCATCTGGCCCCTGTGGAACCTGCATGAGTATTGTGCACAGACATACATACAGACAAAATACTCATACACATAAATAAACAAACATTTTTTAAGAAAGAAATTAAAGGGGCTGGAGAGATGGCTCAGCAGTTAAGCGCATTGGCTGTTCTTCCAGAGGACCGGGTTCAAATCTCAGCACCCACATGGCAGCTCACACCTGTCTGTAACTCTGATTTGACACCCTCACACAGACATACATGCAAGCAAAACACCAATGCACATAAAATAAAAATAAGTGAATATTTTAAAAAAATTAAAAATGAGTAAATAATATGAGAAACTAAAAGGTACACTGAAAAGAATACGTGTGAACGTGTGAACAGAGGAATTAAAAATAGGAAAGACAGTTAAGAAACGGTGTGTCCATTATGGGCAGAACATGGGAACAGGGACTCTTTTCTCATTTCAACATCAGGAAATAGGATGCTGAGCTTCCTTCCTTACAGGTAAAGAAAGGTACCTGCCAGGAGGAGGGTGCCTCACCTTGAAGGCACCCTCTACACTAACAGCCAGGAGCCACTTGAAAGTAGATTCCCTTTGGCTTCTTTCTCATGATTTCCAGTTCTCCTACGGATTGGATTCTCGTATTATGCCTACTCTGTTTTGGTTTTGTTTGTGTATGGTAAAGATGAGCAGAAGTAAAAGAGAAGAACTAAAACTTCCTTCTAAGTTTCTGTCAGACAGTAGGATTACCCATTGACTGAAGCTGGAGATAAATGGCTGGAGAGAGAATAGCTTTGTCTCTTTGCCACCTCTCCCAGGTGGATGAGAATGAGCTAGTCCTACATCCTGTCAGACAGCAGGATTGGGCTCTGACTCGCCATCGCCGTTAACTTTGACAGATACCTCCTTCACCCTGTTTTGTATTTTGCTTTGCACATCTTATAGGGGGACAGGTAATAGTCTGTAATTATTTAATCTGTCATTTTTAAAAAGTAATACTGTGACAATGAAAAAACTTTTAGCAATTAGAAAATAAATGGATATTGGGAAAAAGAAAATGCATTTTACGTTTTTATTTCCTGAGCTGAACATACTAAAACCATTACATTAGTTGTATGAATGAATGTATGGGAACGTTCCCTCTTGTTAGGTACAGACTTGAGGAGTCCACCGTGTGACTCCTGGGTGTCGACCTCCATCGTCAGGCTTGGTGGCAGGTGCCTTTGCACACACACCACCTCACTGGCCTTGGAAAAGCATTCTGAGATTGATATTCTTGGAATATTTGCCGTTTTCGTAATGGGCTCTCTAGTCCTGACAGCTGTGGGTACATTTCTGTGAGTCTGGGCTTTGAGCTTTGAAGTACATTTCATATCCTAAGATGAAGATTTGGTTGCTCTCAAGTTCTTGAGGTCTGTGGGTGTCCTTGGGAGCTAGGCCACCTTGAAAACTTCTCTTTCCCCTCCTTACCTTCACTTAAGGCTCCTGCTCCAAAGAGCACTCTGGTTCCTGCCGTCCCCATCACCAAGTCCTCAGGCTCCCGGTTCCGGAACAGCGTGGAAGGGCTGAACCAGGAGATCGAGATCATCATTAAGGAAACCGGGGAGAAGGAGGAGCAGCTGATAGTAAGCAGTTCTCATTCTCAAAGCACTTTGCTGAGCTCTGGCTCTGAGACAAATCACCATTCTCTCGGCTGTATTTAAGTTTCTTCTTATTGAAAGAATGAAAATTAGCATTTGTAAAAATAAAAAATTTGACCAGGAAAGTGATAGAAGAATTTTAATTTCTTTGCATTTCACAGAATGATCTGGCCCAACCTAGGTTCAGATCCTTTAACAGAAATTGGGCAGTATCCTCCTCATTTTACTGTGACTCCGTGTAACAAGTTTGAGTTAGTTCTGTGGAGGGTGGGACAGTTAGAACAGCAAATTGTTTCTGAGGAGGAGCCTGACTGTCCGTCTGTCACGATGGCCTGGTTTGAGTTGGCGTGCGTTGTCATGAAGTGCACGTAGAGACCATCTATTATCAGAGCACTTTGTTTATCTTAGCCTCTGTTCTTGAGTGAGAGGGAAATGAGTTTGGAGAATACCTCGCAGATGTGTGACATTCTCTCCCTGAAGGTGAAGGAAGTCAGGGGTGGTGGTTTGCCTGTCATCCCAGTTAGTCAGTCTCCAGCTTGAAGCTGGCTTATATAACTAAAATCCTATCTCAGACAGACAGAAGAAGATAAGAGCTTGGTTTAACTTTGAAAACACTTAGCTCTCCCACCCTGCCCTTCCCTAACTAGTTTTTATATAATTTTGGAAAGCGAAGTAGATGATGTCATTCAGGGCAGTGCATTTGTTAAGTAAGACATTGCCCTTCTGTGTGTCATGCTCTGAGAAGACAAATTCTCAGAAGATGATGCCTGCTGAGGGAGCAGGTTAGGCACAGTGCTACTAGTGAGCAACAGGAATAGAAGGGTGGATGCCCGCTTGTTTGTTTTTGAAATGGGGTTTTGCTGTGTAGCCCAGCTGCCCTGAAAATCAGAACCCTCATGTGTTGTCCTCCCAGGTGCTAGGAGTACAAATCTGTGGCACAGCTGGCTTAGAATTTGATATGTGAGTTTCTGGCCATAGAGAATGTTGCCATTGGGTGCGTTGCCAGCAGATTTTAAAGTCAGTGGTGTAATCATCTTTTTCCATTTGTAACAGCCACAGGACATTCCAGATGGGCACCGCGCGCCTCCACCGCTCGCACAGAGAAGCAGCAGCACGCGCAGCATTGACACCCAGACCCCGGGGGGCGCAGACAAGGGGAGCAACAACAGCAGCCGATCTCAGTCTGTGTCCCCTACCTCCTTCCTCACCATCTCCAACGAGGGCAGTGAAGAGAGCCCCTGTTCAGCTGATGACCTGCTTGCTGACCCCCGGGATAAAGGTACAGTGGGCTGGGATTCCATCCTTGGGGGATGATGGCAGAGCTCCGTTTTGCCATTCGTTCTGTGTGGGACGTACATCAGGGGACGCTGGGAGCGGCGCACACAGTGCGGCTTGGCTGCGGTCTTCAGATGGGGGCCTAGTTAAGTGATACATGTGGTGTGTGGGCTTTTTTTCCTTCTTCAGTATTTGTGCTGAATACAGCTTATTAGTGCCTAGAATGGTGGTTTTCAACTTTCCTAATGCTGTGACCCTTTAATACAGTTTTCATGTTTTGGTGACTCCCAACCATAAAATTATTTTTGTCACTCCTTCATAAATATAATGCTATAGTTATGAATCATAATGTAAATAATTTTGGAGATACAGGTTTGTGACCCACAAGTTGAGAGCCACTGGACTAACTGAATATTTTCCTAAAAAGCACTTTGTTCTTGATCATTTGAGTAGTTGGGATTTTTTTACCTTAACATTTTTAATTAACAGTGAAGCCTTCAATTTAGTGCTGTTTAGGATACTTTCAACAAGGTTTAACTTGATTTATCTCAAAGCAAAATTGAGTGTTCAGAGCAAACCTTAAGTTAGGGGTTGGAGGGTACTGAAGCTGGAAAGGTAGTCCAGTGGATGGAGCACTTGCTGCTCTTGCAGAGGACCGCGATTCCGTTCCCAGGACCCACCCACAACAGGGGGTCCACATCCTTCTATAACTAGTTGCAGGGGACTCTGGTTTCTGCAGGTTCTGCATGCATATAGGCCCACAAACAAACAAGTGGGCATACACATACACATGAAAATTAAAAATTTTTAAAGGTTGGAGGTACTTACACAGTAAAAATTAGCCTAAAGTCAGAAGGAGTTTGAGTATTAAGTACAAAATCTTACTTTTTAAAAGAAATACAGTTATTTTTATCTGCCTGTATCAGAGCAATGCATTGTGCTAGCCTAATCATAATTCTTGTATGTACTTAAAAAAATGATGTGGCAGTTATTTGTAAATTGCCCAGCACGGTTTGGTAGTGATGTATTTAGAACCTCTTGCATGTCATCCTGACTGGCTGCCACTACCACCACACATTTGAATCTGGCAACAACAGAACTTTGAACCAGGTACTCTTAGAAGTTCTCCACTTTGGACCCTTTCCCTGAGGAAAATTTGAGACTATGGGTATATAGGCATATATTTATCATTATTATTATCATTAATATCAAACATTAACTGATAATAAATCATGATTTTTTTTTTCTTTTTACACAGTTGTTTGTGTTCTCCACCCATGTGAAAAAGCAGACACAGTAGATTATGTAGGCCCAGCATGGAGGGGCAGGTGTAGATGGAGTCCTGGGGCTTGCTGGATAGCCAGTCAAGCCAAAGTGGCAAGCTCCGGCTCCACTGAGAGATGCAGGATACTTCAGCAAGTGAAAGCTTGTACACAAGCCTGACAACCCGAGTTCAAGTTCTGATCATACTGTGAAGGAGGACCAACTCCCCAAAGTTGTCCTCTTGATTTCCATATGCACACCTGAACGTGAGTGTCGCACACTCAGTGAGTGCCTTACACTAATAGTAAGTGAAGTTATTTTAAAGGGCAACAACTTTAGGGCTGTGTGTGGTGGTAGCACACGCCTTTAGTCTTACCGCTGGTGACGCAGGAGCAGGCCTGTCCGAATCTGAGGCCAGCTGGGGCTGCATAGTTGTCAGAAACACTCTTAGGGCAGGAGAGATGGCTCAGAGCACTGGCTGCTCTTCCAAAGGTCCTGAGTTCAGTTCCCAGCAACCACATGGTGGCTCACAACTGTCTATAGTGAGATCTGGTGTCCTCTTCGGGGTTGCAGGCAGAACACTGTATAAATAATTAATAAATTTTTTTTTAAAAATAAATCTTATAGAAAGAAAACTTTTAAAAGATGAGGTGGTGCTCAATAGTGGAAGACACCTGACACCCTCTGGCCTCAAATGTATATGCTTGGGCATGAGCATGTGCCCCACATACACATAGGTTAAGATGAAGATCAATCTTGGGCCTAAGAAGTTGGCTCAGAGCCGGGCATGGTGTCCGCACGCCTGTAATCTCAGCACTAGGCAGAGAGATGCAGGTGGATCTCTGAGTTCAAGGCCAGCCTGGTTTACAAAGTGAGTCCAGGACAGCCAAGGCTGCACAGAGAAACTCTGTCTCGAAAAAAAAGTTGGCTCAGTGGGTAAAGCACACAGTGTTCAAGCATGAGGACATGAGTTTAGATGGAAGGACCCATGTAAAAAGCCTCACCTGTGTTAGTGTGTACCTAGACACCCCACACATTGTACTCCGAGAATTCAGTCTTGAATTCGTTCTGTTGATAGAGAGCATCTCCAGAACGTTTGTGAGCTGTCTTCCTCCTGAGTGTGTACTTGTCAACGCTGAGAGTGCTGGTTTGCATAAGTGTACAGTATGCAACAGCAGAAGTATGTGTAGGGCCAGTTCAGAAATTGTTGACATTTTGTCCTAATCTCAAACCAAAGCCATTTAATGATTTTATTCAAGTGAAATGCAATTCAGAGACACAAACATCAGTTATAAAAAACAGACGCTTCACACACACCCCACCCCCCATGGGGGAGCAGCCTTACCAGGCCACAGAGGAGGACAATGCAGCCAGTCCTGATGAGACCTGATAGGCTAGGGTCAGATGGAAGGGGAAGAGGACCTCCCTATCAGTGGACTAGGGGAGGGGCATGGGAGAAGAGGGAGGGTGGGGTGGGGAGGGGATGAGGGAGGGGGCTACAGTGGGATACAAAGTGAATAAACTGTAACTTATTAAAAAAAAAAAACACAAAACCCAGACGTTTAAAACACAGTACAGTTCAAATGTATACTCTTGAATACCACACAAGAATTTTAAGAAAAATGTTTAAAGCATCACAATTAAACCATTATGCTTTTTTTAAAAAAATATATATATACAATTTTTCATTTCATGTGCTTTGGTGGTTTTCCTATATGTATGTCTGTATGAGAGTGTTGTAGCCCCTGGATCTGGAGTTACAGATAGTTGTGAGCTGCCATGTGGATGCTGGGAATTAGACTCAGGTCCTCTGGAAGAACGGCCGGCACTCTTACCCACTAAGCCATTTCTGTTATGATTGTATAAGATTAGAAAGCTTTGTGCGCACAGTACAGACACTGGTTCATAGCTTATGGGTTTCAGGCAGCTTGTGTTTGTGTGGTGTGATGGCATGTGCAGGCTAGAGTATGTCTTGCCCAGGGCCAAGGCTGCCGTTAGGGTGTGAGTGCAGTATGTGGGTGAAGCCAAGGGCACCTGAGATTCATGTGCTTGATATTTGGTTTGTCTTCTGGTTGTTCTACAGTAAGAAACTTTTTTGTTGTTGTTATTTTGTTTTTTTGGATACAGGCTTTCTCTGTGTATTCCTTGCTGTCCTGGAACTTGCTTTGTAAACTAAGCTGGACTAGAACTCCACCATGGAGATCCACCTGCCTTTGCCTCCTGAGTGCTGGGATTAAAGGCATGTGCCAGCACACCCAGCTGAAACCTTTTATTCTTGCCAGTTTTTTTATAATCCCACATTCAATTATGGAACACCTTGTGGTGCCAAAAGAACAGGAGAAGCTGAGCTTTAAAACAGGCTGTGATGGTGTACCTATAATCCCAGCACTTGATGGAAGAAAAGCATCATTCAAGATCACCTTTGGCCTTAGCGAGTTCAAGGCCAATCTGGACTATATAAAGCTCTGTCTCAAGAAAGAAAACAGAAAGTAGGTTGGGTTTTAAACTACATTTATAGACTGTTGGTAATTAGATTTAAAAAAATAAATTGTTAGCTTCTAGGTTGGATTGAAAATGGCTGTTAAGGGTTGGAGAGATGGCTCAGCGGTTAAGAGCAATGTCTGTTCTTCTAGAGGTCCTGAGTTCACTTCCCAGCAACCCCATGGTGGCTCACAACCATCTATAATGTGATCTGGTGCCCTCTTTTGGCATGGAATGTACATGCAGATAGAGCACTCATATACATAAAAATAAACAACAAATAAACATTTAAAAAAAGAAGAAAAGAAAAAAAAATGGCTGTTAAAATCTGCCCATTGGGGCTGGAGAAATGGCTCAGAGGTTAAGAACACTGTCTGTTCTTCCAGAGGTCCTGAGTTCAATTCCCAGCAACCACATGGTGGTTCATAACCATTTATAATGTAATCTGTTGCCCTCTTCTGGTGTGCAGGCATACATACAGATAGCACTAATATACGTTAAAAAACAAAATAAAAACAAACCTGCCTCTTGAGTTCTCATCCCTTCAGCTTTACCTGAATTTTATAATCTTGTTTTTTTGTTGTTGTTGGTGGTGGTGGTGGTGGTGGTGGTGGTGATTTTTTGTTGTTGTTGAAAAAAAAATTTTTTTTTGATGCTTTTGATTTTTAGAAAGGAATGACTGATGGCTTCTGTGGTTTTTTTTTTTTTTTTTCCCTTAAGTTAAAAAACAGGATCACAACACTACTTCCCATAAGAAATTTATAGTTTAGGACAGTTACAATACATACCAAGAAACTTAATTTACTATGGTGTGAACTGAACACGGCATTAAGAGTAATGAAATGTTCCCTCTGATAGGGTGAATTGGGGAGGATTTCAGAACCTTTGAGGTAAGCTTGGGGAGAGTTTTGGGGAATGAGTAGAATTTATTTCTTGTAGGTTTGGAAGCTATGGGCAGAAGGAGGATGAGCTTGGTGTGTTCAGCTCTGACCTCAGCAGAGACCCACCAGGGAGCATCAGCAGGAGTCATTTCAGATGCTTGTGCTGGGAAGACAGACAGAGCCCAGCATTTAAATGAGGTAGCCAGATAGTGCAGGCAGTCTGAGGAGCAAGTGACACAGGCCTGAGCCTGGGTGATTATGAGAGAACAGAAACCAGGTATTTTATTTATAAATGCACGTGGAACTTCTTTTTAAAGCCTGGAATGTGGTACCTGTTAGGGTGATGCTAATGAAGAAAGTACTCTCCCTGCCTTCAAGTGCTTCTGTGCAGAAGTCCAAGAGTATTACTTATGCTGTTTTAATGCATTTCATAATAGTGTTTTTAGTAATCCAGTGTCATTTCTTACAGAGAATGGAAACAACTCTCCTTTGCCAAAATATGCAACCTCACCAAAACCTAATAACAGTTACATGTTCAAAAGGGAACCTCCGGAGGGCTGTGAAAGGGTCAAAGTCTTTGAGGAATGCTCGTAAGTACCCACGTAAACACAGACTTTTTAAGTTAGAATTTTCAAATAACTTGAAAGAGCAGTTCAGCAGTTACTTAGGGATCCACCAACCAGATGACATAATTGTTAGCTTTTTGTGGTGTTTGCTGAAAATAGCCCCAGAATTCCAACAACCCACATATTGTTACCTTACTATAGAGCAGTGCTCATTGTCTGCTAACATCGAGTTATTCTCAGCCTTCCCAAGAGCATCTTCCTTAAAAATTGTGTTCCTGTGAGTGTGCGCGCCCGCATTCCTCTGTGTGTGTGTGTGTGTGTGTGTGTGTGTGTGTGTGTGTAGATAATTTTTGTGGGAGTGCAAGTTCCCTCCTGCCATGTGGTTCTCTTTTTTTTCTAAAGACCTTATAGTTCTCTGATTTTGCCTACTTTTAGTCTCCAGTAATTTCGTGCCTTAAAAGTACTTTGTCACTTTTGGCTCAGTCATACTACTGTGAGAAGATAACTCCAGCAGATTTTGTGTGTGTGTGGTGCCAAGGGGATTGAACTCAGGGACTCCTTCACATGTGCTGTGTAAGCAGTCTACTGTTCTCCTAGGTCTAGAAGCAGAATTTTATTTATTTTTATTAATTTTTTGTATGAATGTTACATCTGTACCACTTGGGTGCCAGGTGCCCACAGAGGCCAGAAGGAAAGGGTTAGATCCCATGGAACTTGAGTTACAGAAGGTTGTGAGCCAACATATAGGTGCTGGGAGTTGAGGCTGTGACCTCCAATAACAGCCAGTGCTGGTAGAGGCTCAGTCACCCTTCCAGCCCTAAGGAGCGGAATTTTAAATCAACAGCTCTTGTTATTCGACCCCTAGTTCCTATTCCTGGTGTTTTGCATAAGGTTTGTTTTTTTAACTGTGTCTCCTTATTTTGTAGTAAGTTATGGATTCAAATAATAAGTATGTGTGAGATTGAGCAAAGTAGTGATGAACATTATTTGGGAATGTGGTGATAGTATTTAGCAAGTCTAAGAACCACCCTTTCCATCCCATCCCTCCACTCATGCTGTATTTCTTGCCGTGAGGATCAAACCCAGGCCTTGGGTATGCCTAGCAAGAAGTCTCATCTCCCACTGTCCCACTGTGCTCCTAGCTTCTTTCTGCTTTTTCTTTTCTTTTCTTTTTTTTTTTTTTTTTTTTTTTGTATTTTGTTTTTTGTTTTTCTTATTTTGTTTTGTTTTCTTCGAGATACAGTTTCACTTTGTAGCCACCGGTGGCCTTGAACTCATACAGATCCACCTACCTCTGCCGCTCCCTAATTCTGGTCCTAAAGGTATGCACCACTACACCCAGAGCATTTTCTTTTCTTTTTGTTTTTTTGTTTTTTAGTGAAACCTGAAATGCCCTTTGGAGATAGCCCATCCTCCATTTCACTCAAGTCTGTCTTTATCTTCTCATGAACATCTTGGAGTGAGTTGAAACATGCATCCTTTGGTTCTGTTATGCATCTTCCTATTGATGCTTTCTTTAAATTCTGAATAATTCTGCTAAACAAAGCATGGTGTCTGAATGGCCTTAGGCTCTGCATTAGAAAATTCTGGCTGTTGGTACCTGCTTATTTCTATTTAGTAATTGAAAAGTGTTGTTTTAGCAATTGCTTGTTGTAGTTTTTCACCATGTCAGCTGTAAGATTAACTGATGGCTGCCGAGGGCCAAAGCTTTTGCGGATTTCTTCTTGGCTTCTGAATCATAGTCACCTACAGATTTACCAAAATGGCAGCTTCTATCCTCCCTAGGTCTAAATGAATCAGTGTATGGAGATAGTGTTATAATATATAAATTATACACCTTGCAACAGGTCTGATACAAATAGGTTTATTAGAGACAGAGAGAGACAGTGGGAGAGCATAGGAGAAGAGAAAGTGGGGAAGGGTGGAGCTCCCCAGGAAAGAAAGAAAGAGAGGCGGGGAATAGTGCAGGCCCATCCTTATAGCTGGATATTTGTACCTGGTGGCAGTGTGTAACAACATCAGAGGTCGCTAGGCAACCTACCCTAACATTCTTCCCTTTTTCTTTAATTAAAAATAGCAAATTTAGGAAAGGGTAGAAAGAGAAAAAAAAAAAAAGCAAGAACATAAAAATGTCTGGGTTACATGTTGGGGAGGGGAAGTCCCTGCCCTGGAAAGTTAAGGGTAGAGGGGTTTGCCAGCCATGCTCAGCAGTAGGTAGAAACCTAACATACCAGCCTTTTGTTGCGGTGTTGATTTGGGGGAGACGACAAAGGCTGGAATGTTGGCCAGGTCCCAAGAGCAGGCTGTTGTATTTGCTGTTGAGGAGCTGTGAGATCATCTGTGGCTAGGTGGGACAATGCTGGGCCTGCTTGATGAAGTCTGCCAAGTTAGGCTGGAGCACTTGGAAGTAGTTGCTTTCGAAGGTGTAGGAAGCACTTGGACCAGGCAGGATACTGGCAATAAGGGCAGAAAACAAAGGTAAGCAGGTTAGGGAGAAATTTTTTCTTGGATGTGCATTTGAAACTTTTAGGCCCGTGGACTTTCTGGCCCATGTTCTTGGTAGCTGGGGGAGGAAAGTCCCAAAACCAGGGAATGGGGGAGGAATCTCACCCCATGAAATTGGCAATAGGTGGGAAGCTTAGGTTGTTGATTGGCAGTACTTTTCTGTAGTTCATTCAACCTAAGAGGCGATTCGCGTGGATTTCCTATGCTTACAAAGGAAGACAAACTTAAGACATGTTAGCACTTTAGACATGTTAACATTATCATTATAATCTGTAGAAAAAGGCAGTAGACATTCCTTTTTGTGTCATAGCATAGCAGAGGCGTGGAAAAGTACATTGGGTTAAAAGCATGAACACTGTTTGAGGTGAGCTCAGGAAAGGCAGAGCCTTCCATGAAGTAAAGTGGACCAAAGTTCATTTGCTCTTGATTTTTAGTATGATTACAACCATGAAAGAGGCTGATTCCCTCTATTCAGAAGACTGGATGTATACTAATCTAACACAATGAGAAACAAGTTTTAAGTCTATACTTAAAGACAAACCAAAGGAAATTTAAAATCTTGAGCCTGGAACTATGATAGTGGATCTAATGGGATGGTAGAATTTTTTTTAATCAGAATTAGATTAATAAATTCCAGTGATGAACGTCAAAGCTCTTAACAGTCTTAATACAGTAGTGGCACAGCGGCAGGAAGAAACCAGAAGCATTTTTATCTGTTTATCTATTTTGGATACCTTAAATCATCTTTTTAGACCCTCCAACCTTCATAGCTTGCATTTGCCAACCTTGAAACATCCTCTTAGACCCTCAAACATTTTTTTTAGATCCTCATAACTTAAACTTCTGTATCCTTAGGCCTTGTATCCAATTATTTACCATGAGACATGAGTGAAATTGCTGGAAGCAGTGACTGTAAAGTAAGTTCTTTTACTAATAAAAAGTTATATCCGAGGCCTATTTCTATTTTAGCATAAGGTTTGTGGGTAAGGCAAAACTGTTTGCCTCTCTAAATAAGAGACCTAGTGGTTGGTAGTTTTAACTAGCTAATGAATTGACTAATGAACTAACATAGTGGATTAATTGCTTATTTTTTAGCTGTCAAGCTACTCTTAGCTTAGCCATCAACATAATCAGAGACCTGAGAAGGATACATTGTAATCTAAATGAATCTATGTATCTGTCAAAATGACAGAGATGACTAGTCAGTCCATAGTTCACTACTAGACAGTTGTCCCAGGTCTCCATGGCAACACGGGCAGAAAAAGAATTTTTTTTCCTTTTTGGTGGAGGGAGAGCGTGGGAGAGATTGACCTCACCTCATTTTCTGCACGTATCCGGGCGTCAGGTTTGTCCACAGTTCGGGCTGTGCCCTAGCAGTGGGCGAGGGAGGCATTAGGGGCAGCCTTGCCCAGTGGTTAGCATCCCACCATCCAGAGTTAAAATCACCTTCTTGCAGATCTTCTTGGAGATCACCTTGGGAGTTGCTGTTAGGATTTGGAAGTCTCTGTCATAATAAACTTAAACATCTTAAAATGCCATAGTCAGCAGGTCTCTGACAGGGTTGAAGGCTAGCATATTTGAGTTAAGCAATCTCTGTATTTATCTGCTCTAAACTACATCTTGCAAACATAAAACAGAACACTATGATCTGTGATTATGTCATACTTTGTAGGTAAGTGTTTGAGGGCCATGTCTATCTTAAGTAGATCTAAATGTTAAATAAAGCTTAATCCTGCAATCAATAAAAAGGCTATAGATTATCTTAATCTTTAAAGACTAAGACTTTAGGTTTCATCCCTGTTAAGTTGGAGCCTTAAAAAAAAAACCAAACCAAAACCATAGTTCATAAGAGAGCATAAAAGTTTCCTTTGTGATTCAGTCTATGAAAGATCCACAGCTTATAAAAGTCCCAGGCTATATCAGCAGATTAATAGCATTATCATATTCAGAAAACAAGGAAAAATACATTTCTAAGGCAGTGATTTTTAACCTTTTTGAGAGTGAAGCTAGAGCACAGTGACCAAGCTTTTACATTGTAAGCAAATGAGTGTCTCTATAATGTAAAAGTATCTTTGGCATTATGTTACATGATTTAAGATTAGTTAAGCACAAGCTTTTAACTGTTGACCCTGGACTTTAAAAACATGTCTGAGTCTCACAATAACCCATTTCTAGGGTAAGTGGTACAGTAGAACAGTATAAAACAACTTTAAAATTACATTTGAATCTGTTATACCAAATCCATTGGCTGGAAAGCCTGAAGAAGAACCCAGAGCGCAGGCAGCCGGCGGCAAGAGAACATTATTCATTTCTGCATCCAAGTAGTAGTAAAAAGACATCAGGAAGGCAAAGAGGATGGACATCAGAAGAAGAAGAAAACAGGAAACAACCTAGGAACCTGCCACAGAGGGCCTCTGAAAGGCTCTGCCCTGCAGACTATCAAAGCAGATGCTGAGACTTATGGCCAACTGTTGGGCAGAGTGCATGGAATCTTATGTAAGAAGTGGGAAATAGTAAGA